AAGATCAATGTGGTACATCATCTACAGGTGGTGTCCGGGTCTGGAATTTTTCTTATCTTTTTATGTCTTAAAGTTTTGGCTACATAATGGTGAAAACCGCAAGTTTCTATCTGTTTTTCTGTCGAAAGTTATTCTGAAAATATCCAGGGACATTATTAGTTTTATTAGTTTATATTATTATTAGTTTTATGTAGCAAGGTGAATGCTAAAAGCCAAACAAATATATAAGTACAAATGCTGGTAAAATAATCGCGATAATAGTTCAAGAACATAAATCTCATATATAAAACATAAGCTCACATATTCAAATTTACCTAGAATTTGCATTTGCTTTAGTCATTAATTTTTTTTCTCGCTGCTTTCCTTCCTTCTTTTTATGTTTATTGAGCTATAAAACCTAAGATGACGTTATCTGCTTTCGACTGCTTTATGACCATTGCATATTATCTCCATACAATGGCTTTTAAATCAGATGAATGATTGACAAACATGTGAAGTATAGATAGTATTTTTTAAGAACTCTGTTTCAGAGATTTTAGAAGCTTTGCAAAACCTCATAAAATACAACCATAAGATACACAGCAACGCAGATCGGAAAGAGAACACAAAACTTCAGACTATCTATCTATTTAACAAACTCAAAATCGATTTTTTGAACAGAAAAATTAAAATTGAGCAGATTGTGGAGTGGGAAATAGAAATTCAAGTAAGAAGTGCAAAACTCCAACGAAATGCATTTTTTAGTGAAGTTAACTACTACACTGATTTACCGAGCTTTCGATCTGTTTATTCTTCGGTCATTTTCAAGGCGAATGACAAAAAGAGAACACGTGTACAGTATAAGAAGAACAGAACGAACTAAATAAAATAAAATAAAATCTTTGGATTTGCAAGTCTAAGTGTTTCTTCTTATACTGTACACATTTTTTCTTTTTGTCATTCGCCTTGAAAATGACCGAAGAATAAACAGATCGAAAGCTCAGTAAATCAGTGTAGTAGTTAACTTCACTAAAAAATGCATTTCGTTGAAGGTTTGTACTTGTTACTTGAATAACAGAAAAATTAATTTTCTGAGTCTTTTTAGGGTATTTATAAATACGCTAAAACCCGCTAACAGTCTCAGATTGAAACCTGATCTATTAAGAGAGGTACTGATATGTATTTTTGGATGTTAGTACAATGTTAGTGAACACTGTCTGGTTTCTGTAGACTACTGTTATCGAAGTCATGGATGTTGTTCGGCGTTGGTTTAATCAACTTCATGAACTCTATTCATTGCCTATATCGGATTTCCTTTTTGGGACTGCTAGTAAATGTTAGCGTATTTTACAAATACCCTTCCCCTTAAAGGGTTTTACTAGAAAATATTGCGTAACTAATAGTGCTGATAGTTGTTCAATCATAGCTAAGCTAAACTAGTGAGTGAAAGGAATCTTTGTTTTGTATGATGCTTTACAGGATGATAGAGCCTGATTTTAGATATTTAGCTTTTACGTACAACGGCGGGCTTAAACAGCCGAAATTCAAAACATAGAGAGAAAAATTTATCCAGAAAATATTTAAATGGATATTTGAAAATCAGGCTCCGTGATCCTACAGATGGATGCCTTAGCTTCAATTGGAGGCTAATCACAGCTCTGTACTTCTTGATTTGACTGGATTTTCTGCAAATACGAAACGCTGTATAGATAAAAAGTGTTTTTCAGAAGAACATAAATTAGCTTTTACTGTCAAAAAATTCATTTTTCTCAAAATGGCGAATTTCAAAAAACTTAGTTTCTACTATGTGCATGTGTGTTGCATAAGTAATTGTATCTAGACGTGTTTTCCTAAAACTATCACTTTTTGGACTACGGTAACTGTCGTTTAGAGCTTTCAGACAACTTGCTGAATACTCCTGAAAATGGATTTTTAGAAGAAAAACGATGAGAGTTGCCTCTGGGCTACTAAACACTCTATACTATTCTAAAAATCGGTATTTTTTGACCAAAATCATTATTTCTGATAGGGATGGAAGTTACATCGTTTTTATACAATGAAATAAAAACCTTTTCTGCCTTTTCTAGGTTCTGAAGAAGATGCAGAAGCTACAGAAATGTTAATTGGAAATTCTCAAAATTTGATGCATAGTGTTAAAGAAACTGTACGTGCTGCTGAAGCGGCATCAATTAAAATTCGAACAGATAGTGGTATTAAATTAAAATGGGTGAGAAAAAGGCCACTATATTAAATTAAATGTAAGTATTATGTACAAGAAAAAATGTCTTCTCATACAATTGTATTATATCTCTTTTAAGAATTGCATTTGAATTCAATTTTTATTTTATCATGAATGGAATTATAAAATAAATATCTAGTCATTCGATGAAATTAATTGAGTTAGTCAAACGATGTTAATACCATTTTATACAATAACAACAAATTTTTGTCTTCCACATATTGTTCATTCGCATTTGTATTTGATTAACGGTAGTTTTTATTTCTAATATCAAACTTTGAATAATTATTATTTTATTTCTAAATTTATTTATTTATTTTTGTCTCATTTTGCTTTTAACCTTTTTTTTCTTGTCTCTCTTGTCAGTGCATACGTTATTTGTTATTTTTTTACTTAAATGAGATTTAACATAAGATATAAGATAGTCAGAAGCTTAATGAATGTAAGAATTTTTTTTTTGAATGAATTACATCTAAGAATAAATTTTTCATTTATATCTGCTTCATAAATTAATTATGTTTATGTTGATTGGAAGAAAGTTTGAAAATAGCTAATGATATGTTGATAGTTGTACAAGCACAATAACAATTTGAAAAATATTTAAAAGAGTCTAGTGTTAGTTATGGTATAACCGGACCCGTAAGCTGGATACAGTGACAAAATGCTCGGATACTTTTTTATCTGAGATTTTCTAAGGTAATATTTAATATGAGTCCATTCTGTTTGAAATTTATGATCATCTAACTTTTATGATTTCAATTAAATCCGTTTTAAAAGTTCAATTGGTAAAAATGAGCTCATTATGAACATTATTTCTAGAATATTATTTACTATTGAAATGTGGATTTGTCGATTGATTAGTACAGTTTTTTCTCAACAGTCGAAACTATTTGCTGTTTCGACTGAAAAGGTAAATAAGTTATGAATAATGTACATAACCAATTTACAATATGTTTCTTAAATTTAGAATATGTTAGTATCGTTTGTGAACAGTTTAGTTAGATCTGGAAAATTTTGTGCACAATCTGATTTCATTTCAATGGATGATATTTCAACAGGAGCATTATCGAACAAACAATTTCAATCTGCCTTTCACGATCAACAGTTAACAATAGAAAATTTATTTGATTTTCATACATATTTTAAACATTTGTTACCAACTAACAAACTCGGTCAAACATTATTGATTGCTGATATTGTACCCACAACAATGAAACTTTTAGATGGGTATGTAATTACTAATAGAAACTAGCATGCAAGCATACTAACCTAGAAATAATACAAAAACACAATAGAT